GGATCACGAATGATTCGAGCGAACATAGATGCATTTAGGCTGATGGGGAGTGGCGCATGCACTTCAAAGCGAAAGTAACGTTAAATTCTCTGCGTCTTCAGCAGCTCAGATGTCGGGAGTAAATGACGATTGCTATATTCATTATTACATCCAACAATAAAGCACCTCAATCGCTTAATCGGAGACATCTTGTCTTCCCCTGCACCAGAGTCAACACAATGGCGGACTGATGACAGCTCACTCAGGGTGGGTCTAAGGTAAGACACCAGTCCAGTCTGTGCTGAAACACTACTGTCAATCAACTATCGTGGGAGGGGCCTGTACAGAACTACGTCATTCTGACAGGAATCTCAGAACAGCCTGGTTTGAGAAAGGGGATTTTAAAATAGGGATTTAAAAAAAAAACACTGGATGGATTTTTATAATTATAGGATGGATCATATAATTCCAAAATACATTAATGTTCAAACAACTTGAAAAGTGAATTTTGCATCCGATCACCCCTTTAAGACCGAATGCACGGATCCAATATAATGATGCACGTGCGATTTCTTTCTCCACTGTTTACGTTCATTTAAGACATGAAAATACTTGCCGAGATAGTTATTTTGAGGTAATTTTGCGTGTATGTGTCCGTTGAAGCGAAAGAGGGATCAATTCTGTGTTCGTGCTCTGCCTGAAACGGCGCTCTGTATGTGCGCGCTTTGAGTGTGTGCGCGCGAGCACCGAACTGAATTCTTCATGCGCATGAATGGTTTAAAACGCTTGAATGTTTAAATTGGTAAGACTTAGAAACACGTGTAAATTATCAACTATAATCCGTTTCACCCCTACAAGCAAGTGAACAACGCGACTCAAGGAAGGGATTTTTATATCACTGTTCAAGGTAGCCCGTCTGGCAGGGCAGTGATACATTCTGGTAGCCCGACTGGAAAACACAACAGCCCCAGGACATCGGGCTAACAATTTTGCGTGCCCTGATATACATGATGATGAGAATATTTTTTCTTTCATTTATGGAAAAGTTAGGCTTGTCGATAACTAAAAATTAACCTTTCTCCTAAACATACTGACACCATTTAGAATAAACATGCTTTAAACATGCCTTGTTGAGTGTAACTCATTTTTTGTAATTTATTTTTTATACATTTTATTGAGTGTTTATTTAATTGTTATTGCTGAAACAAATCACTAAAATAATAGTTTTATACTGTATTTGGACCGCAAAGTACAAACCTTCAACCTACGATGCAACTTAAAAGCTCATATAATATTTACTTTAATCTCATGTGGTGGATGAAAATCATTATCTGTTCAGCACCTTTCATTGAACTTCTAAGCTGAAAAAAAATGTTTTTTTTAAAGAGATTCTAACCTATTTTGTCACCACTGATGAATATGACTGATTTGCAATAAAGATAAAAACTCACATTAGTCCAAATAAGTAATAAGTTACCTTTTCGATTCAAGCTGCTCCTTTAATTTGCTGTACATTTCCAGGACTGCAGAAACGTAAACAAAATACAGCATGATTTTCAAGTAAAGACGACCATGTATTAAAAATAAATCAACTGAAACATTTTCGTCATTCAGTGAACTGTAACCACTTCCTAAATTTATTTTCAAAAGAAACCGACCAAAGAAACCACAACCTAACTGCATTTATCTACAGAATCATCCAATAGGTTTCTTGATTAAACCACTGTAAAAACAAAACATTTGTTTGTCCAAGCAATTAGGAACTGTCGTATCAAGTTTGAAGTCAGAGAGACCGTAAAATATAAAGACATGAGGACCTGGACTCATTACTGTAACAAGAAACCTGGGAACATTGGCGTTTACGGTATCTGGATCGTTTTTAATAGTCTTCTAACGAAATCTCTGGGAAACAAGCACCAAAAAGTAGCGGTTACAGGTCACATGGTGAGATTTTTGCGCAAATGCGGCGTCTCACCGGGAATGCAGAGCTGCAACTTCTCCACCGTGGTAGCCATGTTCCTCTGTTGAATTCGGCAGCGGATGACCTCCTCCGTTTGGGCCGTCACCTTACATAAGGGAAGGTCAAAGAGTGTGAAGCCCTCTCAATTAACGAGACAGTCCTCTCTGCGCTATTGTTCGATAATCGACATTCTTTTCTTCTGCCCATCTAACGGCAGACAAACTAACAAAGCCAGACTGTGCCATACCTCCCGTCCGGCGTCTTGAAGTCTTCGATTGGTGTCGCTCACTTGGCCCTTAAAACATAATATCACTTTTGTTAGACAAATAAGCCCACGATTCCTTGTTGTAACTGCTCACCCTTGTAATCAGATCATACTTCATGAGGAGTCAAGAAAAAAGGCATGCAAATTCAAATTAATTGTGCAGCGGGAACTTGAACTTTTAGTCGGTGGGGAGCTTTTATGGCCGGTAATCGCTTCTGACAGCCCTTTCTAATTAATTAATCTAATTAATATTCATGAGCCTCTCTTCTGATTGGCCTGTTGATTTCTGAGTGACGCACGGCCAGGCCAACCTCAGGTAACTAGGGTCAGCCGACGTCACAACGCTAGCTGGAGGCAGCAAAACAAAGGAAACAAAGGGGAAACTGGAGGCGGCCCATTCAAACCCAGCGCAGATTCGGCTACATAAGGAGCTTAAAATATCATCTTGTTGTGATGTTGGGCGCCAGAATCGACATAATACAGCCTCAAATTAGAAATTTGATTGCATATCTGCTGCCACTGCCAGACAAAAAACCCCAGGAAATTTCAGTTTTGACAATATGGGACCTTTAAGGTAAACATCTAACCTATGAACTCTAAATTAACTTATTTCTGGCCCAATTATGTACAAATTCTTTATTTTTCGATATTGCTTGAAGTATATCAGGACCTTCTTACATTTATATAAGTCTAGTAAGATATAGAATCTTATTTATTTATTTTTTCCCTGATACTATTATTCTACCATGGTACTGACACAATATTTAGCAGGACAAAATTAATTATTTATATATTTAAAAAGATACATTATTCCTCAATAATATCAATGCATATGTTACTAATCCCTAAAATAAATTTAATTATGATTTCCACATACCATCAGCTTCTCAGCATCTGCTCGGACCTTCAGCAGTTCTGTGATGGCGTCCACGAATCCCTGATGATGGAAGTTGCACATTTTCTCAATCTCTCTGTCATGGTTGCGTATTCTGGCGTCAAGTTTCTCCATAAACCTTTTGTGTGCATTGGGCTGATCATCGTAAACGGATCTATAAAACAAACATCAAGTGAACACATTAAACTATTTCAAACAACAGTCAGTCTGCAGAAATCTTCTTTAAAGATTTTAAAGTGTCCCATGAATGTCATCTCATCTTCGTTTACATTAACAGTGGCACACATTTTTTAACATATAAGACGCAACAATTTAGTGTGCCATATTTTAATGGTTTCAAATATCAAAGTCACACTGTGTTCACACTTGTAGTTCGGTTCGTTTGGTTCATTTGGTCCGGACCAAAAAGGAAAATGATACATTTGGTCCTGGTCCGCTTAGTGTTCACATTGGCATTTTTGACAGCGAACCTAAAGGCATAGTGATACGTTCACAACCTGCCTGGTCGGCTTGAATTACGTATATATCGTGACAGAACTCACCGAACACCCCAAACAAAAGGTGAATTAGACTTGAAGCGGTGCTGCGGGTGTATGATATCAAAGCACCCATTAACCGATCGGTCTGCTCAGCGCCGCTTTAAGTCGAACACTCCTAATGCCGCCTGCTGGACTAAGCGCGCTCATTCTTGCGTGTACATATAATTTTATTTTCACCACCTGCAAACTCACAAGGAGCTCATAAAAGGCACTTTACCTCATCGTTGCTCCACATTTGCCCTCTGCTCATTTTGTTTTGGTTACACCACATCGTCACATCATATCGCATAGCATCGCATCTTGTCATTACTTCCTGTTTTTGGTTAGTTTAGAAGTATTTGGTCCGTGTTGCGTTCATATATCATTCGAACCGCACCAGAGTTCATTTGGAAGCAGACCGAGACCCATCTTTTTAGGGTGCGTTCACACTTGTCATGTTTGGTTCGTTTAAAACGAACCCTGGTGCGATTGCTTTGTTAGTGCGGTTCGTTTGAGTAAGTGTGAACACTATATACGCTGTATACATCATTCAAGCCGACCAATCAGGTTATGAACGTATCACTATGCCTTTAGGTTCGGTGTCTTTAGGCTCGCTGTGAAAAATGCCAATGTGAACGCTAAGCGGACCAGGACCAAATGTATCATTTTCCTTTTTGGTCCGGACCAAATGAACCAAACGAACCGAACTACAAGTGTGAACACACCCTTAGCGGTCTCGGTCCGCTTGTTTGGTGCGCACCAGTGTTCAAGATGGCAGCGTTCACAGAGCAATCGCACCAGGGTTCGTTTTAATCGAACCAAACATGACGAGTGTGAACGCACCCTTATAAACTGTCCCATCTGTCTAGTCAAACATATATTTCACAAGTGCAAAATATTCAGGAGCTGTGGCCAAAAAACATCAGTTTACAATGCAGGTGGAACCCAAACCAAGCCATATCTAGAAACCGAACGATTCAGTAAAAGTAATAATAATAATTCACTTCAGAAAATGCATTAATTTTATGTAATTACAGTCCAGACCTTGTGTTTCCCCTTCAGATAACACACACACTTCAATACTCTGCAGGTGTCTCCGTGTGGTTTTATCAATCTAAGAGCATGTGTGTATCAGTAGCTGTGTTATCTAGCGCCGGCCTCGGTGTCTGTGTCAAGCAGCGAGAGTTGGCGAGGTGAAGCCAACAAATGGGCCACTTCTTCAGTGTGTTGTGAGACCACAGAGCGTGTGTTGCCCTCCTCACTGCTCCAGATGGCCAAGAGAGCCGTCTCTCTCAGTGAAGAAGAACAGTCTGAGATGATTCAGGGTCTTCACTCACTTCCTGACACAGATCCAGAGGAAGTGTGGAGGGAACTGCACCAGCTGAGCTGACACTGTACTGCATTACGTATCATTTACAATCAACATGAAACAGTGAACTGGCCATTTTACTTCCATAAAGTATTTCAAAGCAAAAAAAGGATGTTTTTTGGACTTTAGTGATTGATTGGATTCAGAAAATGGTATAAAACCCCATGGTATTACCAAATGCAGAGGTGTCTAGATATGGAGCTCTCACATTTGGGTCTGCAGAACCTTAGGGGGTTGTAACATTTCTAGAAGATCTCTGAAAAAGTCTGAGAGAAAAAATGATTACTTCTAATCATGTATACCTTTAAGGGACAGTTCAACCAAAAACTCAACTCACCCCCATTTCATTCTAAACCTGTATGACTTTATAAGGAGCATAAAAGAAGAAAAATGTTTCAGTTTTTTTCTTTTGACACTGGACGTCAATGGTAACCAAGACAAAATAACTTTTTTGTGTCCTGCAGAAGAAAGACAGTCGACGTTTTATGACATGAAGGTGAGAAAATGATGACAGAATTTCATTTTGTGAGTGAACTATATTTTTATGATATTAATGAAATATGTTTATGTTAACAATATTTTAACAAATTTCTTAAGTACACTGCAGGTTTGTTAAAGTTAACTAAAACCATTAAAAAAAGTCACTTGAAATAAAATAAAAATTAACTGAGTAAAAACTAATAGAAACTGTATCAAAACACTAAAATAACTCTGTTACAATGACAGTATAAACTATAAATTAAACAACTTAATTTAGTTGTCTTTATAGTTGTGTTTTAATATACATTTTCACATATATTTTATACATAAGAAAATGTAGCTTCCTTTGTATTTTAGGAAGTGGATCCCACAAAAAGGATCATGTTTGGGGGTCCTTAACATTAAGCATTTGAAAAACAAAATAAATAGCCTCACAATCTATGAACATTGGGCTAAAATGAATAGACTACGAAAAAATACAGTACATACTACACAATGTGAATGAAGACCACTAGAGTGCAGAATGTGCTGCAGTTGGAGGGATGCATGAATAGTTCTCCAAGTGCGCCACCCTGTGGGCAACAAGGGAACAGTGCATGTTCAATCACTGATGCATATGCAAATATTTTAACCAAACCAGCAGCCATAGATCAGTGGCTCTCATGTGGTTTACACTGGACACTGAACATGAAGTGGTTACCCAGCACAAGAACCAAAATTGCTGTGCAAATGTTCAAAAATAAAACTGCTTAAAACCAAAGTTATTACCATGTATTAGACCCAACAACATTCGATGGGAAAGTATGACGGAGTATCATGAACGAGAGGAATGCATTATTTTTCTTCATTAATAATTTCTGAATTATATCTCTGTGATGTGTGCAAATATCAGTAATATAGGATGAAATAGAGCGACACTAAGATCACAGGAGTTTTTTTAGCAATGCATGTAAAAACTGACTTTTCATTGGCTGTTTTTAACAGTACAACTTTATAAATAATGTTAAAATGTAAGTTAAATTAGCAGGACAAAGTGTCACACTGCTTGTATGGTGACATAGTGTTGGCCTAACAAACTTCTGCTTCTTTTTTTTATATTACCTGAAAAAATTAACTCATTATAAAGCATTATTAATCATGATTAAAATAATACATTTCCAAGATTTACTTTAAACATTTGTTCAAAGAATTATTCAAACAGTATAAATGGTTTGTCTCTCCATGACTCAAAAGCAGGTACTTTCTCTGTTCACAGGTGTGTTGTGTTTGTGTCAAAAGCAGAGGTTACTGTAAAACTACTGTAGACTGTAAAAGTCACAGCAATTAGCATGAGATTCATCATATTAAACAATCTCAACCAGCATAAAAATCAAGATATTCATAATAACAAAGTAGCAAAGTCTTGGACGGCTCACTGCTAGTGAAAATGCCAGCTGGCTCTCTCTCTCAGATGCCGAGCAGAAGGTTCGGATGAAATCCAGGTTGCAATTAGCGACAGCACATAGATTTAGCAAAATGCTCCTCTTTTATAGTTATTTTTTTCTAGCTGACTGATGAGCTTATGGATGCCGAAAGGTTATTCTGAGGTATATGTATTGTTGTGTGACACTGTTTATAAGCTTTACACATTTTCTGCAGTTTGAAACACTGAATAAGCGATTACATGAGACATTTTAGTAAGTTTTAGGCTATCTTATAAAATAGCCTACCTTTTGATGTCCATTCATGTTTATTTCGTACTATAGTGGTAAAGAGAACAATATGATGGATTCACCTGCCGCTTGAACTGAGGCGCCAAAGTGATCGCTCATGCCACATTAAAGAGCGCCAAAACCGTATTTATTGATTGAATTTCGTTATGAATTTGGCAGAAGTTTAAAGGGGTCATATGATGTTGCTAAAAAGAACATTATTTTGTGTATTTGGTGTAATGAAATGTGTTTATGCGGTTTAAAGTTCAAAAAACACATTATTTTCCACATACTGTACATTATTGTTTCTCCTCTATGCCCCGCCTTTCTGAAACAGTTCTCAAAACTCGTGTTTGAATCATCAGTGGCAAATCCTTTTTCATCAGTGACAAGTCCTCCATAAAATGCACTGCACACATCTTAATATTTGGGTTGAACTGTTCTGGAACAGTGTTGTAAATACAACTTAACCACTGATTTCTAGTCATGTCCTCTTTTGGAAGGACAAACAAAGTAGTTTCGCTTTCACAACGAAACACACAGCGTCTCGACATGGCGGCAGCAACAATACTACAGCGAGAATAAAAGTTACGCCTTCTTTCTTTGCGTGAGCATTTGGGCGGCGTTATGCAAATATTCCCACATCGTGATGTAGACATGTGGGGGCGTGTTAGAATGAGCCGTTTTAGGTAGGCGTGGCTGACTCTTAACTTTTATAAAGAATATCTCTTTGGATTTGAGACTTTAGTCTTTGCAACTTTACAGATCTTCTTTATGCACCAAGAGCTTGTAACACTCCAAAGAGAAAGGAAAAATTTTAATCGCATCATATGACCCCTTTAAAGCTGATACTTTGTTTATTAAAAGGTAACAGAGCACAAAAGCTTATTGCGATTATTGGACGGCAAGTGCGCTACAAATAATATGGAGTTCACGCATTAATAGAACACAGCATATAGATTAGATCTTGATAACAAGAGCCATAGTATCGATTATAAATGAGAACTGTTAACGATATTGCCAATTTCCTCACAGTTGATAGCTTTACCTGTTGCAGTTTGTTCAAGTTGTGCATAGAATAGACACTGCTTTTCTG